ATTCCATTTATCCCACTGAGTATTGTAAGCAACCTTAAGCTGATTAAACTTACAAGGAAGGCTATTCAAAACATGATAGACCAGGAAATGTTCTACAATGGGAATGTTAAGAGCCTTTAGCTTAGATGATATATTTATCATTTTCATGACGTGCTCCCTAATACCACTTGTACCATCATATTTCATGCTCATCAATTTATCCATCAGATCCCCAATTTCGACTTTATCAAACTCTATAAATTTTTCTCCTATGGCATTCATAAAATTTTTGGCATTTTCATTATCGGAGATGGCACCAAAAATAGAATCAGATATCGATCGCTTAATGATTTTCAAACAGAGTTTGTTAGCCCTTTCCCACTTTTTATGCTCAACTACATATTCAACGGTACTCTTATATGTGGGTTTCTTAAGCTTTTTCTCCATTGAAAAATTCAAGCCCAAAAGACCAAGTACTATTTCTACGTCTCATTTTTATCTCACATAGTTATTCCCGGTCAAGGTTTCAATAACAGACAATTGATTCGAAAGAGATGAGACACTATAAACTGTGGAAACATAAAATATCACTCTTAATATCATCCAAACATAATGCATGCAATCAAATGGATGATGTAATATCCAACTAATTAATGTGGGCTATTAATTAGATAATCCATAATTTAAATCAAAACCATATGAATTTTACTACGGTTAGAGCCTAGATGCATCATTATAAAGTCACATTTGGGCCAACAATATAACATGCTATAAGGTACTTTTAAAACATATCATATAATTAGTTAACAAAATCACATTGGTTTTCAAAGTACCAACACCTTTGGGCAGAAGAACATTTCTAAACTAAGGTAAACTCGTTAACTATTTTATGCCATTTTCCAAAATATCACATATAATAACACCTTTAGACAAGATATTATATGCAATAAATCAAAATTGTTGCGTGTATATATATATAATAATGAGTGTGCCACTTTGATAGCTATTTTTATTTCAAAATATTTCTCTCTCAATGGGAAAATAAGATTCGTCTCAATGCCCATGAAAAATTCAATCACAAAATAATAATTATGTAATAATTCATAATCATTAATCGATAAATAGCAAATTTATATGTGATTTGGAGACAAAATGGGCAACAAATTTCAATATATACAAATTGAAATTTAAGCGCGCAAATAATGGCAACATTTAAATGCATAAAATAATTCAAAAGTCGTCAATTAATTTTATTATTATTATTTAATATGATTTTAATTGAGTCAATTTTAAATAATTTTTTTTATTGGGTCAAAATTGAAATTTTAGGGTCAAAACCTTTCAAAAATCCAATTTTGAAACCCCTTCTCAATTCAAATTCAAAACCATCTTGAATTTGCAATATGACCTCTAGTTCAAATTACAAATAGAGCCTCCCAATAACCAAATTGCTAAAAAGGCCATCCTTTTAAAATTGCAAATTTAAACCCTTAAAGATAATTGCACCCGGGGCTTGAGTCTTGACTAATTACAATAGGAGCCCTCGTCTCCACCTTCAACTCGATTTACAGATAACCGTATTTTATTTTAATTTTTCTCTCTCTGTCGGCACTGCACCTAGTTTTTCAGATGATGTTCTTGTTTCTTGCACCTCAAATGATCGAGCACTGTGAATATCACTTTTGAACTATAACTACGAAGAACCTCATATTCCACAAATTGTATTTTCTCTGCAATTTTAGCTTTTAAAAAGTGGCATAGACCTTAATGGTCCTATCTAAATCTAATCTACTGTCCTGGGCTAATTATTCCCTTAATGTAGAAGGATAAAAACGAAGATTTGCAAAATTAAAGTGACAGTTCGTCTGTAAAATTCTTGCACCTTTTTTTTTTTTTTTTTTTTGAGAAGGAGGAAGGTGGATGATAGAAGCTTAAATTAATTCTAGAATCTTGATTGGCGGCTACGGCAAAATTCCATGTAAATTGATGCCAAGTAGAAGAATACCCATACGGAATATACAAAATTAAGGGCTAAGCAAATAATCAAGAAAACATTGAAGTCATCCCAATGTTAAACCACATGCTAAACCGTGACTTCTTGGAATTTGCATTCTCAACGAACCCGAAAATACAAAAGCTATAAAGGACTCTTATCTTAGCATGTTTAGCTCTGATACCAATTGTTGAAATTTATTTGTAATTATGCTAAGAACAAGGATCACAGAATAATAAATTGATAAATCGAATTTATACATGCGGAAGTCATCGTTGATATGAATAATAGTTATAATAGCGGCCAAAATCTCCTCCTCCTTACTCCTCACAAAATATTAGCTATCAACGGAATAAGTTAAAATAAAATAATAATGGAGAGGAGAAGGGACCTAGCCTTTATATAAGAAATGATTGAGTCATCCCATTACGACTAGAATTTTAATTAGGGTTTATTTTCAGCCCACATACATAAAAATACCACATCATATTAATTATAACCCTTAAGGTGTAAAAAACTCAATTGATTACTTAATAAATTTGGTCCAAACACAAATATCATTATGAGACATACATCTAACTTGTAAAATTTGCAATTGAATGTGAAGCCTACATATGGAATTATTCTAACATTGAAAACACTAATTCTGGTTTAACCAAGAAAAGATTTCTCTGGCAAATTACTTAAATATGAATACCATTCCAGTAGTTGTTTGTTCTTTAGAAAGCATTGTTCTTGTTCTCCTTCACAATCACCCACCGTTCTAAAAGGCATGCTAGATGTCGCCAATGCGCGATGCATGGCAAAAACGCCAACACAAGTGACTTTGCGCCTTATTTAGCGATCAACAGCAATCGTTGACCGCTAATGCGCACTTAGGTGAGCATAATTATGTTTTTTTTTCAAAAAATAATTAATTTTATTTATTTATTTATTTATTTATTACAATCCTTCTAAATTAAAACTTAAATGTTGATTTCTTCATTTCGTTGGTTCTAAAAGCAAAATAGCCATTTGACGCCTTGACCAAAGAGAATCTTCCAAAAATTCTTATTTATTTACTATTTACTCTTTATATTTGGAACTTATCTTTTTGTTGAAAACTTTGAAAAAAATGTATAAATTTCCTATAAATTTGTTTTAAATGTTTGGCAAGTATTATTTTTAATTATTAAACGATTTTTTGATTGATTAAAAATTAAAATAATACTAAAAATAAGAAAAACACCTTTCTACTATTTTTTACTCATATGCCTCGTCTAAACTTGCCTAACACATAGCTTGGTCTCTATGCATTGCAACGCATTACACCTTTTAAAACACTGCAATTACCAAAACAGTCATATCGAAGCACAAAATCTATAACATAAGATTTCCAAGTTATATTCTAACTATTAGACAGATCAACAAATTTTTTATCTTTACGATTTACAACAGAGCTTGCCCTTTATCCAAGAAAAGTTGCAAAACAATTTCGTTTGTTTACCTATCTTCTTAAACGAGAACAATTATGAAATAAAAGAATCATGCCAAGGAAAGAAAACTTATGCTTTAACAAGACTTCAGCAAAATCTTTTAAATCAATGATAATTGAATCTACATAGTTAAAAGATCACTAAAGAGATCACAAGATAGAGAGTGCAATCCCTGTGGTGGGAGCATCATAGTTCCCATCATAGTTCCTCAACAAGCAGAGATCTGTTGATATTATTTTTCGCCTCAACTGCGATGCCTTTCAAGTGTTGTATCTTCAATCTTAGACCAGGTAAATTATTTTTGACACTTTTTGATCCCTAAGTATATCACAGATCAACGGGAAATTTGATATGATCCAAGAGTCGAGCCCGACGAAGGCAAGTGCGAGACGAGAGAGACGAGACCCGTTGATAGTCGATGGCGGACCAATGACGCGATCAAGGGCAAAGCAAGTAAAATAAGCGATGGGATTGCTCGTTCAAGAAACCATTGATGGAACCATGTTCGGGATTCAAAATGGAGCAACTTTCATGTTCGGGTCGAAGGCCGAATCAATTTGGATCAATTTGTTATCAAGCGATGAAAGCAGAGGCTGAAGACAACACCATGCAGCCGCACAAGGCAAAACCACATGCGGCCGCACACACGCATACCGAAAACAAAAAATGCAATTTCAGTTGAACTATGAGACCACATGGATTTACACCATGCGGCCGCACAAGCCAAAAATTTGGAGAATTTTTCAATTTTGGCAAATTTCCATATTTTGTTAGATTTTGATTCTTTTCCATATTTTGGAGATTATGCTCGACTTTTGCACGATTTTTACCTAGTTTTTAGGTTTAGTATAAATAGGAGTTTCCATTCAATTGTTCAAAAACCTTTGACATTATTGATATTGAATTAAAGTAAAGCGTATTATCTTCTCTTCATCGTTTTTCATTGAACAATTTCGAACTTATCAAGTGTTAACTTATGACATTCAAACAACCGGATTTAATTCTTGGATTGCGTGATCAAGGGGTCTTTCAAGCATCGTTCTAGTTGATTTTTTGGTTCGACTTTCTTTTGGATTAATCCTACACTTTGGATTAATTTGGCTTTCTTAGATTCGTCAATCTCGTTGTGAGTTTCGTAGTCAACGTTGTTATGGGGTTCAAATCAAAATTCTTCTCTATCCATCCTCTAACTACAGAGTTTTCAGACCGTCGAGAGTTGTGGCCTGAGATGTGATTTGGCAGAAGATGTAAAATACCACCTGCAGATGCTTTATTTCAAATTATTCAAGATAATGTCTTCATCCTGTGACTAACTGCAGTTTAGAGTTCCAGGCCCAACAAACCGCAAGGATCGTGCTCTTTGCAGAACTTGAATATGGTTGCAGGGTCTTCTCTCGACCACTTTGTCATTTTCGTTCTTACAAACGACATGGAAGATTCAAGGTATACAGTCTCGTGTCTCTGATTTTTATCTAGAAGGATATATGAATGGATCCTATGGTATAATTTTTTCCCTTCCATGATAAACTTGTCTTATGAATGCATCAAAACAATTATAAAACTCAATGGTATACATTAACAGAAGGCTGCAAAATACAAGGCTATTCCATCAGACAATAAAAGGAATCAATGCTACAAACTTATAGAGGTAATTACTGAACAAAAAATTGATGTTACTTACAGGGAAAAATTGCTGCAACAAACAGAAAATGCTTCAATGCTACAATAAATTTTATCTACAAAACTCTGACCAGAGTAGGAATGTCTAAAGTCTACGTCAGATGCAAAGACAGACAAATTGAGTACCTCTCAGTCCAGTTGGCATCGCATTTACATCAAGACATTCAGTTGATGGCCTTCTCAACTACAGCTATATTGACTGAAAAAATCTGTACTGTAATTTTGACTACCAAATGCCATCCTCCGAAACAATCTAATTTCTGCAGATTGTTGTGCAGAGTTAAATATTGCACTTTCCCCCACTTTCATTCCATTTGTCAAGTCCGGGGTAGCCATACTATCAAGCACCCTCACAACCTGAAAAGCATAACATCATTTGAATAAGAACCCTCTCAACATAGAGCCAAAGAATTAACCATGAATTTTATTTTTAACTCCAACTACAAGAGTTCTTACCTGTCCCATTTTTGGTCTCTTTGCAGCTGAATGGCGCACACAGACTGCAGCAGCCTCAATCATTCGAAACATTTCAGTACCAATAAAATTTCCTTCAAGCCTTGAATCTGCCAACCCCTCAAATTCCTCCGTCTGAAGTGCATGACTAAGCAAAGGTCGAGCCTGGAGAAACACATCGTGTAACGAAAATTAGAATCTGCAAGTTTTCTTGATATTGTGTACTTCTTCTACTAATTGTGCAGTATGAAGATGTGTGGTTGATATTTCAGGTGACTCGAGCCTAGTATGTAATTAGAATATAAATATGAATACAGTTTAACAAGAGTCTTTAAGTCTTTTTACCAAAGCATGATTCAGAGCTCCAATGAAGTGGAACTTGATTGCAAGTTATTCAAGCAGAGTGAGTGTATCTACAGAGTGTATATTTGAGCTCCAAAATTTTACAGCTTGTAGTCGATTTTGTGAGATATAAATATTGGATATTTGGAGCGGAAATATCAATTTTCAACCATCTCAATCTTTATCATGAGAGAGGGAGGGAGGGAGGGAGGGAGGAGGGACAGCCAAAAGAATGTACTTTCAAAACTTTGTTGTGTATGTTTTGTAGAAATAAATATTGTAGCATCTCTGGAATTCCGGGAAAAACCTGGTAGAGCAAAACCTATGTAGGAAAATGATAAATAAATCTCCCATGAGGCATTGCTAATTCATCATGCCTTGGGTATAAATTAGTATCGAAATTCATATTAACCAACTCTTTTTCCACCAAGTTAGTGGTTGCAATAATGGCACGGGGAGTTAGCTTTTGGATTCCTTAAGATAATAGGTCTTCCACTTAAGCTAGTTATTAGTGATCTAACTACTATCCAAGAGTATCCAAACAGAACTCTACAAAGGAGTTAATAAATTTGGAAAATTTTCTTTTTTGCATAAATTATACAGGTGAGAATTTTCCTCTGATTTTCACATACCCTAAAGATCTTTTCTTGGGACGCATTTCTAGGCTGGAGCTCTCATTTAAAGAATCAGAATTGCTTTGGGTACTTGACAAACAAATCTTAGTGAAAATTGTAGGATGATCAACCCATTCTTTTTGTCACTAGACCCATAAAAGAATGCCAAACCAGATATAGAAGAAATGAATAATTTTCCATGCATGCCAAAGTATAGAAGTAGTTATTATGTCATGAAATTATAATAACTTACCCACTCTACTAGACTCTCCTCCCCCAGGGGTTGAGAAGTATCCACAGGCTTGCGACCTGTAATTAGCTCTAAAAGCACAACTCCATAGGAAAACACATCAGACTTTTCTGTCAACTTGCCACTTGTTGCATACTCGGGAGCCATGTATCTGATTTTGACCAGGAAGAAGGATTAGAATGAATATGATGTAAAACATGTAATCTCTTGTTCTTCCAAGTCTTTCATTGGATACCAGACCAGTTCTAGAATGCCTCTTACCCAAAGGTTCCCATAACCCGTGTGGTAACATGAGTATTTGTATCCATAGCTAATTTAGCAAGTCCAAAATCAGAAACCTGTGAAGTAGTTAATATTATTTTAGAAGCACGTCGAGAAAGTTAATGACGAAAGGCGAAAAAATATCTTAGAGTTGGTTATACCTGAGCTTCAAAGTTGTTATCTAAAAGGATGTTTGATGACTTGATATCTCTGTGAATAATACGGGGATGGCCTATTATACAATGAAGATCATAAAAAGATTAGCAAATTGATATTTTCTCTTCAATGACATAAAAATATCTAAATATCATCACTTATTCAAAAGTAAAAATGCCAGAATAAACCACTGAATCGGACTTGATCCATCTTTTCTTTTCTTTCAGTATCACTCAGTAAATGTCAGTCAACTCTCTTCCTCAGTGACATTGACAACTTTCTCTAACACTGTCCACGAGTTCTTTAGTAAACTAGAAGAAAGCAAGAGACTTGGCCAATTAAACCCCTAGGGTTTTTATTTACACTGCTTTATACTATTGATCCCGCTAATAGATCTACTTTATATTTTTACTAGACATAATCCAGCCAGATACAATAAAGATCAGCTAAAACTTGTATGATAATTGATTTTTCCTTGTATGATAATTGATTTTTCCATCCATATTTCTCCTTTCTTCTTTGGTTTTCAACTGGGATATAAGATGAGCATAAAGGTGACATAAATGTCATAATCCATCACTACTCTTTCATAATGTACTTCGAGTTAAGAAATTAAAATCTTTTCTTTCACAAGGGTCATCAACATTGCATTTTCATGACCATTAACATGGATATGAACTAGATATATAGTATCATGATGAGGACAACCAGAACCAAATTCAACAAGAACACCATAAGGAGAAGAGAATACAGAGAGACTTTTTTCTTTTTGGAAGATAAGAGTTATGTAGAGAACTAAAAATTTGAAGTAGAACTAGAAAAGAAGGATATAAGAAGCTTACAGTCTTCATGAAGGTAAGCTATTCCACGAGCAGCACCAACAGCAATCCGTACACGTGTAGCCCAATTCATAACAGGTCCACCTTCACCTATGAGATGCAAGGATAACCACCAGTATTATTTAACTTTGTACTGCATACACATGATTCATGTAAACACTAAAATTTACCGTGAAGATGGAAGTAGAGGGTATTATTTGGAACATAATCATATACAAGCATCCTTCTGTTCTCAGAAATGCAATAACCAAAAAGTGAAACCAAATGGCGATGGTGTATGCGACTAATTATCTCGACTTCAGATCTGAATTCTCGCTCTCCTTGTCCACCATCAATCTTTAACTGCTTAACTGCTACCGCTCTACCATCTGCCATACATCCTTTGTACACAAAACCAAATCCACCTTCACCCAAGAGATTCTGCCCTGAAAATCCATGAGTAGCTTCAGCTAGTTCTTCATAAGTAAACCATGACCTAGAATGGCCAAAGGCACCAGGATCACGTGGTGAATTTTCAAAACCGCTGCCAGAGCCATTTCCATTGATGGATGCTGATATTTGCACCTTCAATAAGGTGGAATCTGGACACAAATTACTCAAATTCTTAAATAATTTGCAAACATGTAAAAAGCAAAGCCCAAGGCATGACAAGAATATCAAACAGTAGTGCTGCAAAATTTACCTGATTTCGGAGAAGAACCAAGAGAGGTTGGCATGATGTAACCGCCACCAAGTCCAGAAGCCTTTTTCTTTCTCTTCCATATGCACCACCCTACTGATGCAAAGATGGCAAGCAGTAGAAAGACAAGTCCTGAAACAATTGCTATAGTGCCTCCAGCATCTCTAGATTGGGAGCTTTCTGGTGCATTAGTGCTGGAATTGTTGTTGTTTGTTGGTGAGGACACAACAGAGGGAGGTGGTGGTGGTGACGTTAGTACTATAGGTGGTGGTTGTGACCTTTGGGGAGAATTTGAAGATGGGGTAGATGCTGGTGAAGAACGAGATGGTGGGGTTAGAAATGGCAGTGGAGATTTAGGGGGTGGCACTAGTGCCGATTGTGGGGGTGAACTTTCAGGAGAGATAGGTGCTGGAGGAGGAGGGGACTTCCGGGGTGGTATGGCTGCTGGCTGTGGAGGGGAATTTTCAGGCGGCTTGGATGGTGGTGGGGGTGGTGATTTTACAGGGGGAAGGCTAGATGGAGGTGGAGGTGAATTTTGTGGTGATTGTGTTCGTGGTGGAGGACCTGGAGGTGGGTCATTCTTTGGTGGCTCAGGTGGACTTGCAGAGGGTATAGATGACAGCGGTGGAGGTGAATTTAAAGGTGGATTTGTTGATGAAGATGGTGGTGAACTTGCAGGGGGATTTGATGGTGGAGGTGGTGAGCTAGATGGTGGATTAGGAGTTGGGGGTGGTGAGCTAGCTGGTGGATTAGACACAGGTGGGGGTGGTGTGCTAGCTGGTAGGTTAGGCAGAGGTGGAGATGGAGATGGAGGACTTGAAGATGTAGGCAGTGTATTGGCTGGCGGTGGTGAGAGTGTAGGCTGAGGAGGAGGAGATGTAGTAGGAGGTGGAGATGCCACAGGAGGCGGGGTCAAGGCTGGAGGAGGTGGTGCAACATTGGTTGGGGGGGAGGATTGAGGTGGCGGAGTAATGGTGGGTGGAGGAGAATTGAGCTGAGGTGGTGGGGCATTTGATGGCTTTGGTGGGGTAGAACGGGGAGGGGAAGGCAGAGGTGGAGGAGAATTGGTGGAAGCCGGTGGAACAGCAGAAGGTGGAGAATTTGGGGATGGAGATATGGATGCCATTTCATCAGCATCCAAATTAATCAAATTTTGCCATTACAACCATAGCATTAACAATCTATGTATTTCAATAATACTTCATGAACTCTACCCCAAATCCACAATGTACTCTGCAAAATCTGTCTTTAGAATGTTAGTAATTGCATTCCAAAGTAACAAAAAATTCACCCCATACAGTTCATCAAAATTTATCCATGAATAACCTCCCAAGATCAAGTAATAAGAACGTGATATATCAGAAATCTGCAAAAGATATAATCTTCAAACGAATTGGAGTCAGAATTCACCAGTTACCAGCGAAAAACCAAATCTTATACAGAATCCAATAATTTCCAGTATAATGCAATTATGCAAATCCCAATTCTCTACACGGCTACACCCCAGTAAACGGATAATCGAAAACCCCAGCTCCAATTCCACTGATTGAACACAACTGTAAGCAAAACACTGATAGTCAAACAATGTTTACATGAAAACTGACGATCAAATCGCCCAATTAAATGGTAAACACTATAAACTAACGATTTAGCCAAAATCACAAAAATCCCGACATCAGTTACAGATGTCAAAATTTGAGGGTTTTCTTTATACGTTTTCCAAAGTGTTGATGGATGATCCTAAAGCAAAGGCCATCATATCATCAAAATCCCAAAGAATAGACTACAGATGTGATAACCCCCACCTGCCCTTTTTGTCCGTCTCTTTTTCACACAGCGCTATCTATAATCAGCACATTTGAAGATCATCAGCAAAGTTGGAGGTATCATCCAATCTCTTATGTGCACACAATAGAAGAAAATGACGCTGCATTCAACTCTTGAATCCTCAAAAAAACACGGAAAATGGGGTACGTCCAGAAAAAGAAAAAGAAAAAGAAAATTAATGTAAAAATCAGAGAGAAAGTGACTTTGTTCCCAGGAATAAAACAAATCAAACTGTGCCAAGATTACGCAACGCTGCAGCTAATGAGTTACAAAAGTCAAAGCACTATTTTAATGTGGCGTAAGAGAATTCTTTATTGATTCTATATTTTTATATTTCGATCTCTAAACTTTTAGTTTAGTCACAACGTAGAATATCAATTTTTAAATCAAAGCTTCATATTCCTCGCCTTGAAGAATATTTTGTTAATTTGTCTCAATTTCACTTTAAAACAAGTTGAAAAGAGAAGTATGAAAAGTATAGGTTAAATAAAAGATTAAAAAATCGACCTGAAATTAATTTTAAGTATTTGGATGCACTGTCCACCACATGGAAGATCTTTAGGGAGGAAAGCATAGCGGGTGAGGCATAGCCAACTATGTTCGACGAGGTGGGGAGCGTGAACTAGAAGGGAGGCCTGAGGTGATGGTAACAAGTGACAGTGCTGTGATTAAAGGTGATGACGCCTTTTTTCTTCTTTTTTGATTAAATCTGTTTTTTTAGTTGATTTTGAATTAGAATACAATAAACACCTGTTTGGAGCTCATTTTCATCTCATTTTTAGACAATTTTTGACCATTGCACAGTGCAAAACTCTTTCCTCATTTTTAGAATTGACAACAATTTGTCAAAGTGAACTTGCAAAAGTCAAAAATGCATGGCGCTTTCATTTGGAACAATACATGCTCACATTTGAAGATAGGGATAAGATTGGAAGTTGATAATATAATGTATGTCACCATTTGGACTAGCTTTCACAAGGTGAGCTATGTGATGTGATTGAAGAATACATTCTCTCCACAAGATTGATAGAAATATCCATCAAAGCCTTGTTTATTTTCCATTAATGTGAAAATGAGAATGAAAAATATAGTCGTTACGAGTTTCAGACAAGAGATAGAAATTCAAATATGGTGACTTGATGTAATGGATGACGATTATATTTTTCATTTTAATGGTCAAATAATGGAAAACAAACAAGAGGCAAATACAAGTTCATGTATGACTAAAGAAGAGACATGTATGGATGTCATGAACATGAAATAAGGCGGGCTTTATTCTATGAGTTGTGCTATGGGTGCATTATGGAGAATTATTCTTATTCTATTACTTTTCGACACTGTCCTTTTTGTCATTTCATTTATTATTTAATAGTGGGTGTTTTTAAAATTCTTGTAATAATCTGGGGACAATTAGGATTTATTCAGTTATGATAGTAATGTTATGTACTCTCACTGGGTTGTAACTCCAGTCTGCGTACGCTAATGTGACATTCAATGATAAGTGAAATTAAATAAATCATTCAATTTCACATTTTATTTAGTCTATCATATAATGCTACCTAAATTGAAGTTATAATTTCAATAGAGCTAAATAACATTACTATAAAAATGGGTAATTAGCACAAAATGTTCATACCTTTCGAGTTCGTTGTGGAAAATGTCCATACTTTTCATTTTATTTTTTTGTCATTTTTACACTTATTTCCACCTTTCTTTGCAGAAAACGTCTTTCCATCCACTAACCGTCACTTGTTTGGTCAATTCAATACAAAAATACAGTTTTCTTTTCAAACATCAAGCGTAAAATAGTCTCAACCCATTTAGTGCAAAACTCACCTCGTCCATGCACTACATCATCTCCCCATACACTTGAGTCTCCATCAAGATTGCTGGTAGCCCAAGTATTTTGACATTTTTGCAAATATTTCCACCTTCAATACAAAAATACGTTTTTCAGCGGACGAAAGGGTGTTTTCTGCAAATAAATGTGAAAATAAAGGTAAAAATGTCAAAAAAGAAAGGTATATACGTTTTTCACAATAAACTTGAAAGATGGAGACGTTTTGTGCTAATTACCCCTCTAAAAATTAAGGTGGTTTCTTCAAAAAATTTTCTATACAAAGCAAAAGCAAAAGATATGCCAAACGGATCCTTAATCATATCCTAACATATAAATTTCATATTAGAAATTAATTAAATTGAGGGTTGAACTTATTCTTCTTATATTATATATTTACTCCTTGATGTAAAAAATCATTGATCAAATTTTAACTATCGAGCACGATTCATATAAAAAAATTCTCAACCACTTCTAATTAGCTTTTCATTGTCATTCTTTACACCATAATTTTTTATTTAAATAACTGATTTCGAGTTGAGGAGGACAACTCATGACGACTCGTTTTGTGGCTCCGAATTTTTCCAATTATGACTTATTGTTTGTATTCGTTATTCAACTTTGTTGACATAATAATTTTGTCGACTTGATGAATTTTATAAGCATCCAGAAGATGGATTTTTCAGCAAATTCATTGACCATTTCTAGTCTTAATCACAACTTTCTACAACCATGTACGAGTCACCATTAATTGAAAATAAGAAAAAAAAATATTGTTGATTGAGTTAAAAAGTGCCTACTATAAAGTTGAAAAAATATTGCTTTGTTTGGTGACTTGGTCCATTTTTCGTCCAAGCTAAGTGTGAAATTTGGTTATGTGGACGGATCAAATGAATCTTCTAGTGTAATCGAAAGAAAGTGGTGCCTCTCGAGTTACAATTTGTGGTTAGCATTTAAGGTAGTTGTACACACTTAAGATAATGACCCTTAATGCTGTGAAAGAGTTAGACCTTGATAAAGTGTGATATTTCCTTTTTTATGAAAATAAATACTAATCTTGTCAAGTTTAGAAGATGAAGAAGATGAACAGGGTAGTTTGTTTTCGTATATAAGCTTGGAGTCCAGATCTGCTTCATTTTGTCTTTCTTATTTTCTCTCTTCCTTTCAAAGGGTTATATTGGGTAGCTAGACCTTTCGTTTTGTTTTTATCTTTTATCCTTTTTTTTTTTTCATTTAATACTGGTCAAATGCCATTTTGAAAATTGGGCCTGGTGAACTAGCCATTGGCCACTATTTCCTCATCCATAGACACCCAAGAGATAATGGATTAAGCCATTTGTACATTATTTGGTTGACATGATTGTTGACACTTCATTCATTTTCAAATTGCAATTGACGGGAAAGTGTGTTGCATTTAAAAACTATCCACTCATGAAGCGACATGTGGTGCAATGTGAAAAAAGATGTCAAATAAAGTATACATATAGCATGATCCAGAGATAATTTTGCTATCTTGATAGATGGTCCATTTAAGTAGACCAATCATATATTATCAACCATATTAAAGTTAAAACACAATTATTTTTAAATAATATTACTCTTTTTTTTTTTTTTTTTATAAAAAATAAACAATGATCGTGTAGACTATGTTGGTATATGGCTATATGTAAAACAACTTGATCACTCAATATGGGTGGATATGGTCAATTTTATCATGATTCTTGTATTAACTTCTATAATAACTTGCCATTGTTCTAACGTGCTTAAAGAATACATAAGTACTACTTCTCAAGGCTCATTTCTTGTATTTACATGTTACTTAAGAGTAGAGTTTAATTTATTTGTAGAAGTCCAGACTACTTTTCCTAATTTAAAGGAAGACGCTATATTTCTATATTTTTCATCATCGTCATGTTAAATCAAGTCCTCATCCTACATAAGTCATTTGATGTTAAAGTTTTTCGATATCAACTACATCCACTCCAGGTAAAATATAGAAAAAGTATAATGCGTTGAAAAAGTATAAAACTTTAGATAAAAACACTTCGCTGCTTCTTTTATTTAAAACACACAAAAAATGAAATGGAATCGAAATGCCCTGCTAAAATTACTTGTTCAATTCACCAATTTTATTTATTGTTATTATTATTATTTATTTATTTATTTTTGCTGAACTTTACTTTTAAACATCTGTATATCAAATTTTAGTTTGGTTTCTTAAGTCATAGATTTCCAAGTAACAATATGAAATGAATTTTTTGATCAAGTATAATTAATAATTGAAATCCAAAAAATCAACACTGATCTGATGCGGATGCCTTAGCTCAAAGGTTTAAAACTGCAAGCAATAGTGTCTTCACTAATGTTAAAAGACAAAAATTAAACTAATAAATTATTGAGAATTGAGGCCAATTCTAATTTGCTTTAAGGATATATGTTCAATATAAAAATATTTTTCGATATAAATCTATTCTACCTTTAATAATTCAACTACAAATGATATAATTTAATGTATTATCGGGCTAGAGAAAGATCCTAAGTTCAAGTCTTGTCCCTTTTCATTTAAGGTCCATTTAATTGTAAAGATGGAATTAAATTGGGTGAAAAACGAATTCCAAGGAATTAAATTGCTTAGAATTGTTTTTCTAAGAATTGTAAATTATTGTGTTTGATTGGTATAATTTTTCACGTGAAAAATGTTGAAATAAAAGTGTTTTTTGATATTCGTTTGACTTTGTTTTATATGAAAATTGTCAATTAAAATGATAGAATTTACTAGTATTGGGAATAACATTGGTTTCCATCGCCGAAAAGCAAAATAAATAAATAAATAATTCAAGAAAATCATCTATTTTTTAGTGTTCGTTTGACTTTGTTTTACATGAAAATTATCAATGAAAGAGAAATATTTTTTTACAATAATTCTTAGAATTAGTTTCCATTGCCTAATAAAAAATAAAAAAAAATTGCTACAGTGACCGAAAATTCCAATTCTCCTACCAAATCAAGGAATAGCACAACTTCCAATAAAAACTAGAAATCAATTCCATGAAAAATCTTGTGAATCAAACACTACATTTTGTGTGAAAATTATCCATTTTCCATCCATTTCCATGGAATTAGGTGAATCAAAAACTACCTTAAAGAAAATAGCAGTGACGGATGATGATACCCAACTTATTCCTCTTGTGCATTTGAGCCTCAAGATCTGAATCCATACTTTGGGACAAAAATTGCAACTACGGTGAAATTTTATGTATTAAAATGCTCCATTTCGAAGGTTAGCGACAAAATACAACGTGAGCAATATTTTAAACATCACCTATACAGTAATAAAACCTCCAAATTCCAATATAAAAATGAAAATAATTCGCACTTTAAATAAATAAATAAATATATGTTTGTGTGTCAAATACAAAATGGAAATAAA